GTTTTCGTGTTTAAAATTATTTTATTTTTATTTGCCTCCTGACATCTAAATTCTTCATTCGTATGCATTTCTTCTCACACACGGACACATGCATATGTTTGTACGTATATTTGAATCTATCTATCTATCTATCTATCTATCTATCTATCTATCTATCTACACACACACATATATATATATACATATATATATGTATATATATATATATATATATATATATGCACACGTTATGCTTATTAGATACATGTATTTGAGAAATATCTATCTGTTTTGTTGTAATAGTACTTTGTCATCTACCTGTTTGTGATTTTTGAGAGACATCAAAGGTTATATATATATATATATATATATATATATATATATATATATATATATATATATATATATATATACGAGCGAACACACGTGTTCATAGAAAAATATAGATACACTTGTTGGAAGTTAGCGACACACACACATAAGTGTGCATCTATGTGTGCTCGCCCGCGCATGTGTGTGCGTGTGTGTGTATGAAATAGTTATGGATATATAGATCCATAATTATTTCATATTTGTACATGTAATTACATAAAATATCTCGTACATGTTTGTGAATATTTATATTTATATTCATATATGTATCTATATATGGAATATATATATATATATATATATATATATTTAATTAATCAGTTAATCTTTTGTATCTCTCCTTTGCTTTCCTGTTTTTGTATTGTTTTCGTTTTGATTTATTTTTGTTTAATTGTTGCATCGTTATTTACTTGGTGTTCACGTAGTCACACCTTTGTGCATTTATAAATACATGCATACATTCGTCGATATTTATAAATATTTTGTCTATTCCCTATCAATCTCCATCTTTTTTTTCTTTCTTTTGCGATTTCTTACCACTTTATATAGCTTCCCGATCTCCCACGAACCTTATAGTGATTTTCCAAGCATAGCTTAGATGTGGCACAAGGCCGAAAATAAGGGGCACCCAGTAAGTATCGAACTCACTACTGATTCGTAAGTGTCTATCGAGACAAGCTTGCTAACCATTACACCTCCTCGGGGAGCCTCTCCCTCGAATCTTATATATCTGTCTCTTTTCATGCCTTCTATGCTTCTCTGTCACTTCTCCATCATTTCGCTCTCTTCGCAAAGGTTTTAGGCACCGGGCCAAATTTCGAATTACTACTTCACCATGATTGTCGACTACCAACCCTGGGCGCTTTGAATCGGCTTACCACATCGTTCGACTACTAACGCTACTGCTATGATCTCTTCTTGCAACTGCTACCAATACTACTACTAACATTCACCAATTTGGTCAGAGAAGGATTCACAGGTTAGTTGACACTGCGCATTTAAGCAGGACATCGGATCACAAGTTTGCAAGCGGACATTACGACTTCTTCCATATACGGTTGGGCTGCAATATAACCAATTTTAGGAATAGAGTTCTTACAACAGAGGCAGACACACCTTCAGAATTTCTCAACTTGTCTGACTGGTATAATACCACACACACACAAATGTATATGCAGGAATACAAACGTGTTTATATAAATAATGACGGATAGATACCCTTCCGCACGCACACACACAGACACACATATTCAAATTCAAATTATCACTGAAGCACAGCTTTATACAGATAAAAGTAAACTCAAACAAAACAATGCAGAGTTGCACGAATAGAGCGCGTCAGGTATTGGAAAACAAATTTTAGTTCCTGCAATTTTGAGATAATTTGAAATCTTACCAGGATTCATTTTTGGCGGTAACAATGTTAACAACATTAGATATGCAGATGACACAGTGTTGCTATCAGACACAGAAAGTTAGACTACAGGAATTCTTACATAATGTAGTTAAAGAAATCGAGAAAAAAGAACTAAATCTCAATTGCGAGAAGACAGGACGTATGGTTGTCAGCAGAAGGAACAACTCAAGGTGTGAATAATAAATTGGAGGCACTAAATTCAACCATGTACGTACATTTAAGAACCGGCATAATATTTTCATAGAGAACGGAAAATGCGACACCGAAATCCGAAGATACACTGGAATAGCGAAATCTGCCTTCCAGAAATTCTAACAGAGGATGGAAAATGCGACACCGAAATTCGAAGATACATTGGAATAACGAAGTCTGCCTTCCAGAAATTCTGACAGAAGGCAGTAAATGCGACGCTGAGATCCGAAGACCTATTGGGATGGGCAAAGAACCATTTCAAAAACTAAGCAGTGTATTACAAGACAGGAGGATTTCATTGGTAAGAAAGGAAAGGGTACTGAACTGCTACGTGATATCTGTCTTCCTTTACGGCAGTGAATGTTGAACGGTCTCCTCAGAGATGAAGAAGGAACTCGAGGCAACAGAGGTATGGTTCTACAGAAGGATGCTAAGGATACCATGGAACGAGCATGTAAGCAACGATGAGGTTTTGGAGAGGATTCAAACAAAGAGGAAACTTATACTTAACATCAGGAAGAGGCAGCTGAAATTTCTGGGTCATGTAATGAGAAAAGAGGGCTTGGAGAGTCTGATACTCACAGGGCGGATAGAGGGAAAGAGAGACAAGGGAAAGCAATGCGTGATACTTAACGGGCTTAAACAAGTGGATGGCAGAATAAGGTCTGGGAGTAATAAATTTACAGAGAGCTACAAGAGATAGAGAGGAGGTGGAGAGCCATGATCGCCTACGTCCTGAAAGGACACGGCACAGAAAAAAGTATGAAGATTAAGAAGCAGAAAATTTTCATTAGAAACAAAGAATATTATCCTCATCTTTGTTGTTTTTATCCTATTCGATTATTTTTTTTTATCTGAATTTCTGGAATGAGGAGTTATAATTATTTACACTGCTCTTATTCGGACTATTGTCCACATCTATGAGGGCAATAGTCCGAATATAAATAGTGTAAATAATGATAACTCTTCATTCCAGAAATGTAAAAATAGAAAAGATTAGTGAACTGTTATGCAATATCAGTCTTCTTATATGGCAAGGAATGCTAGACAATCTCATCAAAGATGAAGAGACATGTGGCAACAGAAATGTGGTTCTACAGACGGATACTGAGAATACCATGGACTGTATATATGAGCAATGAAGACGTTTTAAAGGAAATAGATATTTATGCTGAGTCAGAAATAATAACTGAAAGTTCGAGAAATCATAATAATGATAAAGGACTTGGAGAATTTGGCACTCACAAGACATAGTGAAGGCAAGACAAACAGTGGGAAACAAATAGTAACCAACTTAATAAGTTTGTGTAACTGAATGATTGAATAGGGATTGACAAGGTTAATAAAATATAAAACTTACTAAGCGACACAAAGAATAGAAAGTTGTGGGGAGTCATGATCTCCCATATACTGAGAAAACAAAAGCATATAGAAGACTGTTTTGTTTTTTGTTTTGTTTTGTTTTGTTTTGTTTTGTTTTTTCTGGGGTTTTTTATCGCTTATTAGCACTTTGTGGGTTATTTAAATCCAAAAAAAATATTTTGTATTATAACTATAATTCTTTTTTGCTGGTGAATATTGCATCAACGATTTTTTGGAGGTATGATTTTTTTCAGATACTATTTCACCCATAGGTTAGGGGACGACGAGGAATTCAGACCTTTTCCAAGGATGTTTGTGCGTAAGTAAATGTAACAAGCTCGACTGGGATTTGAAATCGGATCTCCGACACATGGAAGATGAACAAGAATACAAGTTTAATGACTGAAAAATTGATATGACATCAATTTCTTTTTTAAAATATGATATGAAACGATTATTCTTGTCATCGCTACGAAAATTCCTGCATTTAGCAAAGTTGTTCCAGCCACGTTTTTTTTCATAGGCTCTACGTGATAGCAAGTGTGTTGTTATCAAAAACAATGTTATGTTATTACGTGTTAGTCCAATGATTCTGAGAGCGATGCCGTTGGTAGGGCCAACTTGCTTTGTTTTAATGTAGATGGCCTCCAGTATTTGAAGGTTATTTTTACTGTGTGTATATGTGAGTATTATTGTATTATCAACTAATATCTCTCTAATATTATGTAGATGGCTATGTTTTTCTAAGAAATGTTGTTTAATAGAACTAAGATCAGAAATGTGACAAGTTAGTCTACGGGAGAGCATGGTTGTAGTAAAACCAATATATGTAGCGGGTTTATTATTAGTATCAGAGATACAATCTCTGAACAGTCATGAAAATTGATATACTACATTAGTTGTGTGGTTGTAGGGTTATTAAAGACTATGAGGTCAATTGTTTTAATTTTTTTATAATTTTTGATGAGCTTAACTTGTTTATTATTATTAATGGATTTAACATTTCTACCTATTATAATAAACCTACTAAATATATTGGTTTTACTACAACCACGCTCTCCCGCAGACTTACCTGTCACCTTTCTGATCTTAGTTCTATTAAACAACATTTGTTAGAAAAACATAGCCATGTACATAATATTAGGCAGATATTAATTGATAACACAATAATACTCACACATACACAGTTAAAAAAAACTTCAGATCATGGAAGCTATCTGCATTAAAACAAAGCAACCGACACTCAACCAAATTACATTTCAAACTAGTCACAACACATTACATTGCATTTAGACTTATATTTCTGTTGTTAATATTTCGGCCTCTCGCGTGGTATGACGTCATAGAACCGGATGTTGAACTTACGAACTGCGTCTGCTATTCTGCGACCGTTATCGTCGCATAGCAAACTTCTATATCAATATATATATATATATATATATATATATATATATATATATATATAGAGAGAGGGAGAGGAGAGAGAAAGAAAGAAAGATAGAAACAAAGAAAGAAAAGGAGAGAGAGAAAGATAGCTTTTTAAAAAGCTTCCTTCATCACAAAAGTGGGAAATAGACGACAGTTCTAGTAAATCCGTGTCACAATTCCAAAATTAAGAAGAGTTGCATAAAATTACAGAACCATTTCTATTAAGATTCTTCTTATTTTAAAAAAAGAA